CTCTCTCCTCACGGGGAACGAAGCGGCACTCTCTGTCTCTACCCGTCCCGGTTTCCCTGTCACGAGCAGGGGACCGCCGGCTAGAGCTCTGGGAGATCTTAGGGTCACAGTGAGAGCTTCTCCGCCGGGCACATCCCCACGAATCTCTCACTCCGAAGTCGTGGACAGCCCCTTTTTCAGCCAGAAGCCACTCGTCTCCCTCCTCCGTCCTCACTACTCTCAATGGACAGCTCTAACAACAGCTCACGTTCTCTGGATAATGGCGACTCCATCCCGAGACGATCCGGCTGATCTTGAGTCAATTCGGGGAAGCCCAGGTAGACCTGTTTGCTTCCCAAAAGTCCTCCCACTGCCAGCTATATTACTCCCTGACCGAGGCCCCCCTCGGCACAGATGCACTAGCATTTTCCAGACTCCAAGCATTTTCGGTGAGCAAAGAGTGCCTTGTGTTCGGGCCGGCCTACTCTCACGTTGTCCTGAGACCCTGGCCTGGATTGTCTGCTATGGATGTCAGCAGAAAGGGAAGACTGTCTCCAAGCAGAGGTTGGCCCACTGGATAGTGGATGCCATTGCCTTGGCCTACCATTCCCAAGGCGAGCCGTGCCCCCTGGGGGTGAGGGCTCACTCCACACAGAGTGTTGCCTCCTCCTATGCGCTGGCGCACGCCGCCTCTCTGGCAAACATCTGGAGAGCTGCGGGCTGGGCAACACCGAACACCTTTGCGAGATTTTACAGTCTTCGCGTTGAGCCGGTTTCTTCCCATGTCTTGGGTAAGAGGTAAGTGGCGGGAAGAGCCAGCCAGTGTCACGCTTGCTGCGCCATTCCCCCTCACCCGGGGATGCAAGCGCCTTTTCCTCCTCCAGTAAGTTCCCCGGTCAGCAAACCCTGGTTGAGTATCCTCCAGCACCCCCCGCAGTCAGACTGGGCGGAGCAGTCTGACGCCAGGCCCGGTATCGGTGTTAACTTGCCCGGGTTTACGGTCAGCCCATTTATTGTGCTAGGTGTCCATATGGCTTAATTTCCTGCGGCCGATCCCATATGTGTATTCTTCCACGGTAAGGTTTCCCTCTCAGTGAACCCATGTCTTCCCTTTGACAGACCACTCTGTCTGTCTCTGCTGCACTGTAAAAAAATATTTTAACAGTAAAAGACTGTAAAAACGCTACAGTAAAAACCTGTTAACTGGTTAACAGTAAGTTTCCATACTATATTAGGTGAATAAATGTAATTACATTTAATGTAATTATACAGTAAAATACTGTTAAAAAAGACGGTTTTTGGAAGTGAAAAAGAAAAATTCATTGTATAATTTACAGTGACATTGCCCTCCTCAGCTCATAGAAAAGCTGTTTGTGATGAGCTTTGGTTCATCATGTGACTTTCTCACTTTATTGTGCTAGGTGTCCATATGGCTTAATTTCCTGCGGGCGATCCCATATGTGTATTCTTCCACGGTAAGGTTTCCCTCTCAGTGAACCCATGTCTTCCCTTTGACAGACCACTCTGTCTGTCTCTGCTGCACTGTAAAAAAATATTTTAACAGTAAAAGACTGTAAAAACGCTACAGTAAAAACCTGTTAACTGGTTAACAGTAAGTTTCCATACTATATTAGGTGAATAAATGTAATTACATTTAATGTAATTATACAGTAAAATACTGTTAAAAAAGACGGTTTTTGGAAGTGAAAAAGAAAAATTCATTGTATAATTTACAGTGACAAACCGTAAATTGACACTCCCAAAATTCCCTGCATGACACTCTCATATTTGAAGTTTTTTGTTGAAATAACATGTTTCTTCTTATTTTTTTCTTATCAGTTGTGTACATTAGGGTTTAATCTTACATCTAATGTTGTTAAATGAATGTTTATTGCATTGTTTCAGTATCATGTGTCACCATGATGGGGTTTAGTGTTTGTGTGAATGACACTGTGTACCTTCTATATATAAGTATTGCCCTCCTCAGCTCATAGAAAAGCTGTTTGTGATGAGCTTTGGTTCATCATGTGACTTTCTCATCACCACCAGATTTTGGTGGTTATTAGTGCATTACAATAGTTCAAAACAGATATTAGTACTTCAATATGTTGGTTTATTAACATTACATCAGTTAATGAAATACGGTATTTTATTGTGAATTTAAGTTAAGTCTGTAAAACCTAAAATGTTGCTACCATATTTTTTACGGTGAAGTTCTGGCAACCACAGCTGCCGGAATTTTACCGTAAATGTCACACTTTTTTTTTTACAGTGTGGAAGCCGTTCCTCCCTACTCCTAGGTAGGACCTGCCTCAGAGACCATTCCATATGTAGTACTGCCCCAGGCCTGTGTCAGTCCATATCAGTGTCTCCACATGATACCTCCCTATGGGCAGGATGTGGTCTCCATAGCACCCTTCTCCGTGAAGTGCCTTTCATGAAGGTCGAAATCCCTTCTCTTAAGAAAAATTTTCTGTCATAGGAACAGCGGCTTGGCTATCTCTAGCAGCGATGTACTCACCTTTTGGTTCCTGTGGGTGCCAAGGTCAACGAATTTGCGCTGGGAAGGTTACGACCTTTGCGTAGCATTTGTCTGACATGCGGCTGCTTGTCAACATTTGCAGCGCTTCAGGGTTGTGACGGGTTTCAGGTTGTGGTGCTTTCCATAGACCCCCTATGTCATCACGACATAACTCGTAGTGACCGACAGATAGGGAACGTCTCGCTTACGTATGTAACCCTCATTCCCTGATGGAGGATACTCAACCAGGGTTCACCGTCCGGGGAATTTACTGGAGGAGGAAAAGGCGCTCACATCCCTGGGTGAGGGAGAATGAGTGGATGTGAGCCTGAGTGATCGTGCTTACTACTGCCGGTGGCAGATCACTTAAGTCTGCTGCATCACGTTCAGGAGCCACACGTGGAGGTCCGGGATGCAAGCGCCTTTTCCTCCTCCAGTAAGTTCCCCGGTCAGCAAACCCTGGTTGAGTATCCTCCAGCACCCCCCGCAGTCAGACTGGGCGGAGCAGTCTGACGCCAGGCCCGGTATCGGTGTTAACTTGCCCGGGTTTACGGTCAGCCCATTTATTGTGCTAGGTGTCCATATGGCTTAATTTCCTGCGGCCGATCCCATATGTGTATTCTTCCACGGTAAGGTTTCCCTCTCAGTGAACCCATGTCTTCCCTTTGACAGACCACTCTGTCTGTCTCTGCTGCACTGTAAAAAAATATTTTAACAGTAAAAGACTGTAAAAACGCTACAGTAAAAACCTGTTAACTGGTTAACAGTAAGTTTCCATACTATATTAGGTGAATAAATGTAATTACATTTAATGTAATTATACAGTAAAATACTGTTAAAAAAGACGGTTTTTGGAAGTGAAAAAGAAAAATTCATTGTATAATTTACAGTGACATTGCCCTCCTCAGCTCATAGAAAAGCTGTTTGTGATGAGCTTTGGTTCATCATGTGACTTTCTCATCACCACCAGATTTTGGTGGTTATTAGTGCATTACAATAGTTCAAAACAGATATTAGTACTTCAATATGTTGGTTTATTAACATTACATCAGTTAATGAAATACGGTATTTTATTGTGAATTTAAGTTAAGTCTGTAAAACCTAAAATGTTGCTACCATATTTTTTACGGTGAAGTTCTGGCAACCACAGCTGCCGGAATTTTACCGTAAATGTCACACTTTTTTTTTTACAGTGTGGAAGCCGTTCCTCCCTACTCCTAGGTAGGACCTGCCTCAGAGACCATTCCATATGTAGTACTGCCCCAGGCCTGTGTCAGTCCATATCAGTTATAATTTACAGTGACAAACCGTAAATTGACACTCCCAAAATTCCCTGCATGACACTCTCATATTTGAAGTTTTTTGTTGAAATAACATGTTTCTTCTTATTTTTTTCTTATCAGTTGTGTACATTAGGGTTTAATCTTACATCTAATGTTGTTAACAGATATTAGTACTTCAATATGTTGGTTTATTAACATTACATCAGTTAATGAAATACGGTATTTTATTGTGAATTTAAGTTAAGTCTGTAAAACCTAAAATGTTGCTACCATATTTTTTACGGTGAAGTTCTGGCAACCACAGCTGCCGGAATTTTACCGTAAATGTCACACTTTTTTTTTTACAGTGTGGAAGCCGTTCCTCCCTACTCCTAGGTAGGACCTGCCTCAGAGACCATTCCATATGTAGTACTGCCCCAGGCCTGTGTCAGTCCATATCAGTGTCTCCACATGATACCTCCCTATGGGCAGGATGTGGTCTCCATAGCACCCTTCTCCGTGAAGTGCCTTTCATGAAGGTCGAAATCCCTTCTCTTAAGAAAAATTTTCTGTCATAGGAACAGCGGCTTGGCTATCTCTAGCAGCGATGTACTCACCTTTTGGTTCCTGTGGGTGCCAAGGTCAACGAATTTGCGCTGGGAAGGTTACGACCTTTGCGTAGCATTTGTCTGACATGCGGCTGCTTGTCAACATTTGCAGCACTTCAGGGTTGTGACGGGTTTCAGGTTGTGGTGCTTTCCATAGACCCCCTATGTCATCACGACATAACTCGTAGTGACCGACAGATAGGGAACGTCTCGCTTACGTATGTAACCCTCATTCCCTGATGGAGGGAACGGAGACGTTATGTCCCCATGCCACAACCTCAAACCATCGCTGGTTGCCAAGGACAAGTTCTTGGCTCCTTAGCGTAAAACCTGAATGAGTGGATGCACCTGTCGCCTATTTATACCTGTATGCACGGGGAGGGTCTCAGGTATGCAAAATCCACTATCCAAAATTCATTGGCGTTTTCTCTTAAAGTCAGAGTGGATTGGGGCTCTCAAGTAAACCCTCTATGTCGTCACGACATAACGTCTCCATTCCCTCCATCAGGGAACGAGGGTTACGTACGTAACCAAGACGTTTCTCGTTCACTTTTCACTCACTTGTACTCAACTTAGAGTATGAGAGATATAATATACAATTACAATAATGATGAATATATATCTGTTTAGAATGATATCTATGAGTGGGCCAGAGACCATCGTGTCCATCATAAGTTTTCCGAGACTCATGCGGACCCACACAATGCCCGCAGAGGATTCTTCTTCGCTCACATCGGCTGGCTGCTGGTCCGCAAACACCCAGAAGTTATTGAGAAAGGACGCAAACTGGAGCTCGCTGATCTAAAAGCGGATGGGGTTGTAATGTTTCAGAGGAGGTCAGTGGGATATTGTGGTATTTCATATTCAATTTTGTAAATCTCCTTACCTACACTGCTGTATAAAAGTTTGGGGTCTGTAAGATTTATTCAGCAAGGATGCATCAAATTTATTAGAAATGACAGTAAAGGCATTCATATTGTTACAAAATATTTCAATTTCAAATAAATACTGTTCTTTTGAGCTTTCTGTTAATCAAAGAATCCTAAAGAAAATAAAAAAAATTCACAAAATATTATGCAGCACAACATTTTTCAATATTGATAATAATAAGAAATGGTTCTTGAGCACCAAATCAGAATAATTTCTGAAAGATCATATGACACTGAAGACTGGAATAATGGATGCTGTAAATTCAGACTTGCCATCACAGGAATGAGACATTTTAAAAAATGATTAATTATTACATTTGAAAACAAATATTACAATAGAAAACTTGTTAATTTAAATTGTAACAATATTTTACAATTGACTGTTTTTACTGTAATTTTGATCAAATAAATGCAGCTTTTGATAGACCTTTTTCTGAAATATTTTACAAACCTTATCTAAAAAACCTGACAAAGACAATACTAACTTTGATTCAGGTTTAGTCATTTCTTATGACCTAAAATTTTCATTACACCTCTGACCTCGCCATTGGGAGCTGCCATCTGAACCAGGCCTCATATTTAGCACTAGCTAGTGTGGAATAATCAATATCCTTTCCTTTGAATGACATCCAATAAAAGACCTGAGCTTTTTGATAAGAGTTTAAGAACACGTTTCATTGCTAGATCAGATAGTAGGAGAACAGCTGGTTAGTCAGCATTTCGAACTGCATGTTGTGCTCCAACTAAGGTTTAACAACCAATGTTAATTCAGAAAATCTATGACATACATAGAAGAACATGTGACAATATAGTGTAAAGCAGTGATAAAATTGCTATTAAAAATTGTTGTTTTTAATCTTTCATTTCTCTGTCCATAGGCATTACAAGTTATCTGTGGTGGTGATGTGCTTTTTCGTTCCCACGTTTGTACCTTGGTTCTTTTGGGAAGAGAGTCTTTTGACTAGTTATTTAGTTCCTTGTCTGTTGAGATACACTGTGTCCCTTAATGCGACCTGGCTGGTCAACAGTGCAGCTCACATGTGGGGAATGAGGCCTTATGACCACAACATCAATCCCAGAGAGAACAAGTTTGTTGCCTTCAGTGCCATCGGTAAGAACAGTGTCTTTCCTTTTACAGATTAATATAAATTAATTCAATTTTGTTGAAAAAAACAAGATTAAATATTCTATTCTGCACATTTATTTATTGACATATATTTAAAAATACAAAAACATTTATGTATTTTTAATAAAATGTATTAATACTATATATAAAATAAATAGTATTAAACCATTTTTATTGTTTAATATAGGTTTTTATATGTACAATATTTTGTTGAAAGTTTATGTTTACATTTTTTCAGGATTATTGATGAATAGAAAGTTTAAAAGAACCAAATTTATTTGAAATGAACATATCAAAATCGTATGTACTGATTGGAAAATATATGCATGGTTTAATTTCAGGTGAAGGATTTCACAACTATCATCACACATTCCCCCATGATTATGCTGCAAGTGAGTTTGGCAGTCGGCTGAATTTTACCAAGGCGTTTATAGATCTCATGTTTTTCTTTGGACTGGCCAAGGATTGCAGGAGGGTAACTCATGAGACCATCATGGCCCGCGTTCAACGCACTGGTGATGGCAGCCACAATAGTGGTTGATTTGTTCAGTACATATGACAAAAAACAAAAAACAAACAAACAAACAAAAAAAGTAATAAGGCAACAAAAGCATTTACAGCATTTCTTAGTGTGCAATGAAGATTGATCTATATACACTCTCATATGAAATAAGAAACTCTAGAGTGTGTTGGACTAATATGTGTTCTTAAGAATTCTTTCCTTTTCATGACATGTATTAGACTGTGGGAGATTATTTTCAGAGATGGTAAAGGCCATAGATTGAGAGGATAATTGTGTCTCAGTCTGCCTCAAGAGGCAAGAGATGGTACTTCACTAGTTAAACAGACATGTGCCTGTTACATCCCTCTCTCATGAATAGGTTGACCCATGTTTTCTCTGGCTAAGCAGTTACTGTTGTGATTTTAAAACATCATTCCAGCGAGCTATACAAGCTGTAAAATTAAGATGATATGCTATTAATATACTGGCACTATATTACATTTTCTTAGATAAATAAAAGCTGATTTCCATTTGAAACTGAAATAAATTTAACAACCACACAAAATAGTTTTTTATAGGTATATGTAGTCAAATAAGACTGCCATAGAAAAGTCCATGGGAAAATTGTTCTCAATTGAGCTAAAATGTTGTTGTTGTTTTTTTGTAAAAATTCTGTTTAGAATAGGTTTGTTTGACAGTATACATGAAAATACATCTGGCATTATTGATCAAACTATTTGTATTTTTATTTAAAATTCTTGTTTAATCTTATTTATTTATATTCTACATGCCAATGCAAAGGTCCTCAGATCAGTGATGCTTTTAATGAGGAATTCCCTCAAGTAAAATGAGCAATTTTATCAGAAAGTTTAATTTCTTAATCATTATTTTCCATGTTGCATATGCTCTATCTGGTTTCCTTGGACTCTTGTGGTCCTGTAAAAAAAAGTACCTGTCAAATGACCAGGTAAGCCTTTATGGTGAACTCTTTTCTAATTACAAATATATTGAAGTATGAAAGGACTATTTCAAGTATTATGAAAGATATTTAACCAAAAAACATTTTGAAAGAAATGTGTCTGTTGGAGTAAAAGTATTAATGTGTACACTTATTCTAGCAGATTTATTATAGGACATTTATTTGTCCTTATGATGTAATCCAAGGATTGGAATATTAAAATGTCTTCATCAGATAGAATCTTGCCCTTTGCCTTATAAAATAGGCCTATATATATTCAGATTTTGGGTTAGACTCAAAATTGAAAATACAAAGATGATGTATAGCATCAGAAAAATTATTTCAAACTTATGAAGTTTTAAGTCATTCAGGGTGGGCTGTTTTCTTGGCTCTTCCGTGACGAATGAATGACCATCTGTAGCTCCCTACATATATATATTTTTCTCATAAATGTTTATAGGTTGTATGCATTTTCCAAATGTAAAAATGCCAAATGCTTTATATATTTAAAACCTACACCCATGATTAAGAAGAAACACAAATTGACACGCTGTTTTACAGCTTAATTATTTATACAGTGTTGACCTTTGATGTCTAGGAGCCTTAATGGGCACATTTTCAAGGAATGTTGTTTCATGTACCATAAACCAAAATTACTCTAAGTGGAAGAGTTTTGAGAGTTGTACCGTGAGTTTTGTTATGAATCAATATTAATCTTTTCTTAATTGAATAAAATGTGTGTATATCTGAAAATGTAATCTCAGCTAACTTTCTTTTGTAGCGCTGACCACAGATTATATTCATATCATATCATATAATCATAATGTCAGTTTTTAAAGCAAAAATGAAAACGGTTTACTCCGTGCTATTTGTCCGATCATGTAAGCCTTCACCCGTGCGCGATATAGCGGTGCATGAGTTTTGTGAAACATTTTTTTGTTTAATGGTTTTAAATGTTATTGTAGGCCTATTTGATTAATGGTTTTCTATGGAGAGCTAAATTACAAAACTTAGTTAAGCAAGCAAGTAAATATTTGTTTGTTTATTTATTGACAATCTAAACCAGAATGACTAAATTCCTGATTTTTTTTATTGGTAGTTTTGTTTATATTTCAACTGTGAAAGAATAACATTTGGGGAGTAGCCTACATGGTAATAAGTATAAATAACCTAAAACCGAGATTGCGCATCGAGATTATCAGTCTAGAATTTTGGAACGTTCGATTTTTACGACAGTAGCCTATAATCTACTCACATTCAAATAGACCAAACGGGATTTAGAAATGAATTTTGAAATCTCTTTATAGTGGCAAATTCGTTTTACTTCAGTCTCATGGAAGCCTTTCAGAGCTAAATCCAAAAACATCCCTCTGGAATCTCCCAAATAACTTTACTAATCCTAATTTGCACACGAGAAGATACGCGGACTTCAGAGAAGCTGAACCTAAAGGTCATGAAGGGTCAGCTAAAGACTAAACTGAAAGAAAAGGTAAAATAACACTCTGAAAAGAATTATGAAGTCCTCGTGAAAAAATCGTATCGATTATCCTCCTTATCTGTTCATTCCTGCTGTTTAGGCTATTTGAATCTCTTAATTCAACTATCCTATAGCGAGCATGGATTTAACTTTGATGCATTGCTTTGAAACGTAATAAATTTAACGGAATCAGCAAAAATGAGACAAGTTAGCCAGACATACGCATTATTTTTGTCCTTCTACTTTTTTTCCCCCCAATAGTTTGGAATATTATTCCTATTTTCATTTAATCCAATTCATTAGCCTTTCTAAACCGCATTTAAATGTACTTCAGCGGATCCTTACTATTACTTAACTGAATCTAACAAGTTACTCAAAACGCTACAAATAACATTTGTCGTTTGATCCAGTAGATAATGTCAGTAATCCCCGAGCTTTATCAGCCACTACTGTATCAAACCCTTTCATGCTGCTCATGAAATTGAGTTTTAAGGCACAACCTTTAAGATGTCATCCTGATTTCATATGAATTCACTCCAACTGTTAGCACGCAGGGAGCTCTTCCCAGCTATTTGTCCTGGAGGAGCCCAGGGTGCCCTTTTGATCATTTCAATCTCTCTCTGGTACAATAGTTCTGATTGGCTGAACGAGTAAGAAAAGGGAAAATCTTTAATTAAGCAGATAATCTCTTGTTGGGATGAGAGGAGCTCCATTTCAGAACCCCCTTGGCTCACACATGAGATCCCCAGCCTCTGAATTCTGGATGTAGGTTATATAGAGCTCTTGCAGACCCCTCTGCTTTCCAAGGTGAAGAAAAGTCTGCCAGTCGTCTCTCTCAGAATGTTCATGCATTTGGAGGTTTATTATTACGCTTTCATCCTAATGGCTCACATGAAGTCTTGCTGCAGTTGGTGAGTTCCGCGTTTTATTTTCCTTTACGCAGGCGATGTTGATGCTAAATTTAGCATATATACGTGGATTTATATCGAGCTTTTACATTCTGTGTTTATCTCTGGATTAAAAAGTCAGGGTGAAACAGCCACTTCCACTGATCAGTTCCCGTTCCGTCATAAAGATGCTTTGAGCCTCGTTTCATTGGTTAGAGCAAAAGCTGATGAAGAGCGAAACGCTATGTTCTCATTATACATTGATAAATTCTCATTATATATATATATATCGTACAAATTTTTTTTTTTTTTTACAAATCAAAATTTGTATGCATATATACATGTAATAGCCTATGCGAAGCCTATATGCAACTCCATTGAAACCTTTCATTTTGAGACTGTAAATTTCATTTAAAAATGTACTCAAGATCAGTGACTTATTTGTAATTAGATAAAATTATTTTAAAATGTTAAAAAAATGATGTTTTATCAATGTGACGCTTTACTTGAAATTTCAAGAGGAACATATACAAGTAATGGGTCAGCTGACTTAATAGGCTGCTCTATCTTCCAGGTCAGTGAATAATTTCCTGATGACTGGCCCAAAGGTAAGCCAACATCTTTTGATCTGCTTTGCTGATCTTTATCAGGAGAGAGAAACTTCAAAAAGTCAAAATGGATGGATTTGGGTAGTTAATGTTTGACGTTGACCCTGTGATCACAATGCAAGCAAGTGGCAAATTAAAAGATTGGCCGCTTCACAGGTGCTGTATTTCTTGAACGTGTATCTTCTGTGGATTAGGTATTACTTGCTGCTTGGGGTGGACTGGACCATATAGCTTTCACACACTTCAGCTCATTCACAATGTGAAGTTGTGAGGACTTTTTACTGAGTGGCAAGGGAAGGGGCCTTTGGTGGGTGGTCATCATTAGCAACCCAGCCGTCCGTGAGAGCACTTGTGGTTCTGTCTCTTCTAAACCACTTGAGACATATTAGATTGTATAAACCACAGTTTCACAGCCACATAGACCCTTTTGTTTACTTTATGTGTGCATTTCTGGTGGAACTACAGGGGGAAAAAAATTTACCCCAGTATTTCTAATAATTAAAACTTTAATATTAATTCTACAAAATATTTCATTATAAATAATGCTAGCATTTTGCTGATTTTTATATAATTTAATAAAGGAATACACAGCAAACATTTTACACCACAGTGCAACCATAGGGAAACATTTACCCTGATATTTCTAATATTTAAAACTTTAATATTAATTCTAAAATTATTGTAATAGAGGTAATGGTGTCATTTTGGTGCTCTTTTTAGCATTATTTTAGTATCAGTGAGATACTATTATTAGTTTTTATTTGTATATTTTCAGTTTTAACTTTTGTTAAAATTTTAGTATTTTTTGCGTGTTTTTGTCATTTTTATTAGTTTTTGTTTTTTAATGTCTACGTAGTTTGTATTATTTTTATTTTCGTTTTAGTTATTTGAGTACATCAAGTTAAACTAAATGAAAATGAGAAAATTAGTTTCCTAGAACTAGCTGAATTGAAATGTTTTTTCCCCAATTTTTTCAAAATATATATTTTATGTTAATTCAAGTAACAAAATGTGTTTCTTTGATTTTGGTTAACTATAAAAGCCCATTTTAAAACATGATTTATTAAATGAATATACAGCAAACAAACATTTTATACTGTAGAACCATAGGGAAACATTTACAGTAATATTTCATATTTAAAACTTTAATACAACTTCTAAACTGCTTTTTAAAATGTTTAAACATAATTATTGAATAAATTCACATACAGGTGCATTTTTATATGAACTGTGCATGCTGAGAATGAAAAGCATCTTATTTTATCATTAGTTTTAGTCACAGTGTGTTTTGTAAGCACTTGATAGTGAGTGTGTATTTCATCCCAAATCTTTTCGGTGTGGTTTGCGTTGTTTCAGGCCTACTTGATCTACTCCAGCAGCGTGGCCGCAGGAGCTCAAAGTGGGATTGAAGAGTGCAAGTATCAG